CTAGTATTTTTATATTTTTGTTTCTTGATAGATCAGTAGTTTTTAATGGTTTTATTTTTTTAATAGAAAAGTGTAACCAGTACAAGTGCCAGTTCCATATGCAGTGTTGGAAATGCCATAAATAGCGTTGTTGGAAGTAGCGGAACAAAATTTCAAGCTCTGCAAAAATGGTTTAAGGGTGAAGAAGGCAAAAATTCTGGTGGTGATAAAAAGAAAAGGTAAAAATATTATATTATATTATTATATTTTTTTGGTCAAATCTAATTTGATATATATTGCTCTATAATAATGTTATATATTGCTAGAAAGCTAATAAAATTATCTATCAATTTGTATATAACGTTTAATAACTTTGCTAACAAAATTACATAAGAAAAAAATGCGAAATTTATAATTTTGTTACAAGTCATTAGCCATTGGTGGTTACTTTTCTAGTTTTTCGTTCATGTTGCTAAAAGTTGTTCTACAACACATATGTTGTTGTATATGGTTAGAAAGACAATAAAATTATCTACAAATCTTTATCTAATGTTTAATAACTTTGCGAATAAAATTTGTTAAGAAAAAAAATGCGAAATGTACACTTTACTTACAAGTAACTAAAGTTATTAGCTCTTGGTGGTTACTTTTGTAGTTTCTTATTTGTGTTGCCTAAAATTTGTTATACAACACATATGTTATTGTATATCTTTGGAAAGATAATAAAATTATCTACAACTCTATATATAATATTTAATAACTTTGCGAACAAAATTGAATGAGAAAAAATTGCGAAATTTATAATTTAATTACAAGTTATTAGCTATTGACGGTTACATTTCTAGTTTTTTGTTTATGTTGGTAAAATTTGTTTTACAAACTATACGTTGTTGTATATCGTTAGAAAGATAATAAAATTATCTATAACTTTGTATATAACGTTTAATAACTTTGCAAACAAAATTAGATAAGAAAAGAATGTGAAATTTATACTTTAGTTACAAGTAACTGAAGTTATTAGCTATTGGTAGTTACTTTTCTATATTTTTATATGTGTTGCTAAAATTGCAACACAAATGTTGTTCGATATCGTTAGAAAGATAATAAAATGATCTACAAATCTGTATATAACGTTTGATGACTTTGCGAACAAAATTAAGTAAGAAAAAATTGCGAAATTTATACTTTACTTACAAGTAACTGAAGTTATTCGGTGGTTAATGTTCTAGTTTCTTGTTTATATAGCTATAATTTGTTTTGGAACATATATGTTGTTGTATATCATTGGAAAGATAATAAAATTATCTACAACTCTGTATATAGCGTTTGATAACTTTGCGAACAAAATTAAATAAGAAAAAAAAAAATGTTTCGAACAAATTTATTTGTGTAACATTTATAATTTAATCACAAGTTATTAGCTATTGGCGGTTACTTTTCTGGTTTCTTGTTTATATTGCTAAAATTTGTTCTGCAACACATATAATGTTGTATATCGTTAGAAAGCTAATAAACTTATCTACAAATCTGCATATAACGTCTTAAAACTTTGCTAACAAAATTAAATAAGAAAAAATTGCGAAATTTATACTTTAGTTACAAGGCACTGAAGTTATTGGTGGCTACTTCTCTAGTTTCTTGTTCATATTGCTATAATTTGTTTTGCAACACATATGCTGTTATATTGCTAGAAAGGTAATAAAATTATCTACAACTTTGTATACAACATTTAAAAACTTTGCGAACAAAATTGAACAAGAAATAACAGGGAAATTTATAATTTAGTTACAAATCATTAGACATTGGTAGTTACTTTTCTAGTTTCTTGTTTGAGTTGCTAAAATTTGTTCTACAATACATATGTTGTTATATATTGATAGAAAGATAATAAAATTGTCTACAACTCTGTATATAACGTTTAAAAACTTCGCGAACAAAATTGAACAAGAAATAACAGTGAAATTTACTTACAATTAGCCATTTGGGTGGTAATTTGTCATTTACACTTTTCAACTACTTATTTTTATTTTTAGTGAT